GTGCTCTGCTAGACGCAGGATAATTCACCATCCTTGCAGATTAGTCAGGTGAACTTCTAACATTACGTATTTCTAAGAGTGAGCTAATGAGTTAGCAACATGAAATCTGTACATGTTTTTATCAAAACCCCCTTGTTTCACCTTGTTTGTTTCTTTTCCTGGAGAAGGAAGCACTTCTTCAAGAAAGACAGTGATGTTGGCTCTTCTGTACTGAAAGTGGAGAGGACTCTACCTAAGGGGAAGATTCTTTGAGTGTAATGCACGAAACTGGGAAGATAGCAAGACATTAGTATTGCTATTTAATTTATTTATTTTTTTGTTATGTATGGTTTCTGAGCTTTTCAGGAAAGGTTGATGTCTTTCTCATGTTTGTCAACACAATTTCATGTCCGGAAACGTGACATGTAGGGACATCTTAGTGACTGGTTGGTAGCTCATCCTTCACTCAGACTGGTGATTAGTGATCCTGCCATTGCTGCCTATTAACAACCTTAGTTATATTCTGCACATCTGAGGGGTACCCAGGAAACTGTTAAGGAGTACAAGGTCTAAAAGGGATTCAGTTGGTCATCTCTGCACACAAAGACAAAGGAAGCAGAATTTTACCATGAGATTTATAATGGGTTTAGTGTACATAGAATTCCAGGTAATAGTTTCCCAGTAAAACTCCCCAAATCACCTGTCTCCTTGTGGGCAAATGACCAGCCAAATGGGCTGAGCATGAAGTGGAGACAATGAAGTCTGAAAACTTGCCACAAGTCTAAAGTACCTTTTGATAAGGAACCACAAATAAGGGATTAGGCGGCCCCAGAGAGCTGGGGCAGGTGGGATACTAACCCACCACGAGTCAGGTTAACGGACGCCATAGTCTCTGTCAAGGACTGTGTATCTGTCCCCCATCTGCCTCTTTCCCAAGTCTTCAAGTGTCTCTACATGTCTGTCCTCCATGTATCTCCCTCCATGTGTCTCCTCCAGCAGTACTAGGGTGCAGGTCAGAACCAAAAAAGCAAGAGATCATTCCTGCTGCCTTCCTTGTTAAATAGTTTCACCTGGACACTCAACCCCACTCCCACTAGCTCCCCCATCAGGAAATCCAGTTCACGGCATGCTGGGACTTGTAGTCCCAGGTGGCTGCATGTAAACATGGGTGGGGAAAATGGCACCTATTTTGTGCTGCTTCCTCTTTCATGGAGGTGCATCTATACTAGTTAAAGGGGCAGCAGGAAGAAGGAAATCAATTTTAAAAAAGGTGTTTAAATTTAGGAAGCAGTAGAAGAGGGAATTTGAAATACTGGATTATGTTCTAGCAGGTAATGCACTTTTTTTTAAGATCGCCCATCATTTTTGATCTTTAACACAAAGCCTTTTCCAACTGGGATTCACCCCTGAACCACTGGTTACCAAAAAGCGATCAGAGACCAGAGGAATTATTGGACTATTTTCTCCCAGGGATGGTAATTTCAAGAACTGTGAAGTTTGAAATTAGACTGTGCTTGCAAGCCGCCACAATTGCCTGGTATGGTTTTGTGATGTTGGAGAAGACATCCAACTACAGGAGGGGACCAGTCACAGAGATGGCGCACGTGGCGTATCACTTCCCTCAGGGTGGTGCCCCACAGGCCAGAGCGGAGTGGGGTGTGCCAGGAGAGGAACTTTGAGCTTTGATGAGGGGCAGTGAAGGCTGCTTTGTGCACCAGGGTGATAGTCTCTTTTTCCCAAGGCTATTTGTTCTACAAAGATTCTTGAAAAGATAGTCTGGGACAACAGCAGCTACTACTTCCTCTCACTAGAAATACAGAAGCATAGGAGACTTGGGGAGAATTGTCTCTTGACACATAGGTATCGAGAACCAGTCTAGTGTGTAGGAGAGGGGCTCATTTATTGTCCGTATGGATGCTTTACACTTGACTCTCTCCTTGGACCCAGGTTGAGAAGAAATGCTAGACCTTTGCTCTGGCCTGCCTTCCCCAAAATGCCTAGCGTTCCTCCAAAATGTTTTAAATCTAAGAGGGGAAAGAGAATAATTTTATTTTTTACCTTTTGGGGCGACTATAACTATTCTAAAGAATCATACAAAAATTATTTCCAAAACGAAACGAATGCCCATATCTACTTCTAAAAAAATGGAGAAGATTTATATAAGGACACACATTTATAATTTCTTGCCTTCAAATACGCATGGGCAGTTTGCTTTGGGGAGATACCTGGGAAACACACTGTTGCCTGACCTCTGCTGGCTGGGGCGAGACTCACGTCAGGTGTCAAGTCCTTTGCTTCTTTCTTTGGCCTCATCCTTGCCCCTTCCAATGGAGAAACTAGCAAAAACGTTCTTGTACCCAAGCAGTGGCTCTTTTCTGTCTGAACTGTGCTGCGCTCCCTGGGTCTCCTTCTTCCAGGACTCCTGGTTCCCCACACAACTTACAGTCTCTTCTCCATAGAGATGGTTCCCAGACTTGTATTTTCTCCCTCTTGACGATCTTCCACCTCTCAACATGTGTGCCCATGGGAGATTCTGAAATTCAAAGGAGAAAGACCTAGCTCGGGCCTCCAAGAGACAGGGGGGAACCACTCCAGACATTTCAGTCTCCACTTGAAGGCTGGAAGGTTATCTTGGTGAACCAGTTAGTTAGTACTGAGTCATGTAGCACTTCCACGTCGAACAACAACAAAAGATCACAGAAAATAAACGAGACGATAAGGCTGAGGCAGAGAGCTCGGCCAGGAACGGGTTGCTGGTTCTCAGTTCCTGTCTGGGAGCTGAATGGAGGAAGCTGCCCCTTTACCTTCTGCATCTGCTCTTCCAGTAAACCCCTTCCTTTTCCAGAAGGGATGCTTTCCCTTTATAGAACCAAACCAAACCACACCAAACCAAAACTGAAAAGCAAAGAAACCAACTTCGTATTCTAAAAACAAAGAGGTGTGAGGATTAAGTGGGTAATAGCTGGAAAATGTATCATCTTTATTTTTAAAGAGCCTTATGTAATGCCACGCTTGCTTTGTCTCCATCCCCTAGCGGCCTTCTCGTGAGCAGATGGATGGCCGTCATTTAATTGCTTGACTATTTATGACTGGGAAGGGTTGCTGGGGGCGTGGTGTAACATCTCATCTTCCCCCACCACCACCCTCTGAGTACCTTGACTAACTGCTGGGAGATAAAATGGCAATTGTTTGGCTAACTGTGGTCTTAAATTCTCTGTCAGAGCTTCATCCATCCCTTCTGCTCCCTTCCTGATTAGTCAGGCACCATTAAAGGTTCATTTTCTGCAAAAGAATTGAGTGACATTTGCTGCTGGTGATACAGATCACTTTGAGATTTATAGGTGTCTTTGCTTGGCATGAAATTGGTTTTATGACTTCCAAATGAATGGCGGGATAGGGACATTGTAAATAAGGTGTTCAAAGAATAATTTTTTTCCCAATGCCCCCCCCCCTGGCTTTTTCCTGATCAAAGGATAGGGATGTACTAAATATCAAGTCAGTAATGCAGTCCTTCATGTCCCTGATTTATGAAATCCAGTTTTAGGTTTAGAACATGTGAGTTCATTGCTCAGAGGTTTGAGCACGATTTCATGGGCCTACCATTCTACCTGGCTTTGTGAGGTCTGCAAAAATGAGCTAAAGGCCTGATTTTGCACCAAAGGGAAGAATATCAGATACCATCACAGAAGAACTGCCGTCCATTTATCAGAGTGACAGGCCTGTGACTCCGAGAGGCCAGAGCAGGTGTTATGGGGGCGGCGGGGCACAGGAAGGCCTGGAGCTGGTCGAGAGGACAGACTCCAGCAGACTGAGAGTGGCAGAGCTGGAGCTGAGCATGCGCAGAGTGCTCTGTAAAGTCAGGGCAGCTGCAGGCAGACAGACAGTCAGAAGTGCCCCTAGCGGGTAGGGGGCACTCTAGTTCTTGGGGAGGCAGATTGGGCAGATGGCATCTAAGGTGGCTGAGGATGCTCAGCAGAGCAGGCCAAGTTGGAGGAAGGGAATGGGGGGCTTGGCTGGAGACTATGGTTACGTGAGGCGGTGAGGGTGGCGCGCCTCATACTTGTGAAGGCAACACCTGGGCGCTGCTCCAATAGAAGGGGAAAGCGGGCTCTGCTGTAGAAGAAGAAACTGTCAAAAGTATCACTCAGGAATGTGGAAGACAAGGAAGCTCATGGAGACTGGTTTTAGCCAAAGAGGGTGAATTTCAGGTGACCAGCATCGGGGCGAGCATTGAATGCACACGTGTTGAAAATGGGGTAGACGAAGTGACAGCTTTCAGCACTGTGCCTGCTGCAGTAAACTTCATACACCTGGTCACAAGCCTCCGGTTTTGAGATACTTGGAAAATAATTCAGATCATCATGTTTAAAAAATTTATTAAGTGCGGAAGCACTGGTTAAGGTAACTGCACTCTCTGCCTGTTGCCTTGTGTTTGGAGGCACTTCCAGAAGTCTGTTTACTGACCTTTTTACATTAAATTACAGAAATATTGCACATTTTAGGAATTTGGGGGTCATCCAGGAGTTGTGTTGCTCCTCGGTGTCTCCCCTTGACAGTAGGCTCTGTTCCTCTCTAAGAATTCAGTGTCCAGCGGCCATTTTTTCTGCGTCGCCAGATGCATATGACCAGATAAAAGAGCTTAAAACGTTAACTTTTGGAGCCATTGACACGGGCTTGACTGTAGGTTCTCGTGGCTTTCCTTGTGAGCAGAAAACATGGGGTCACCCATGCAAGCAGCTGTTTTAGGTGTACTCGCTCATGTAGGTCTTTAGCTCATTTAGGCAACTGGCTCTAGGTGTACTAGCTCATGAACTCTCACTGTGCTGGGATGGACAAGGTTAGATCTTCTGGATAAGGGTGATAGGGCACCTCTAGTTTTGGGGTATGGTTCTTGGAACGACAGGCCTGTTATCAGGAGAGATGAGGGAGCTCTCACCCCAGCCATTTAGGATCGGGGTGCTCTGTGCTTGGTCTTCTTATTGCCTGTGTGTTAATCTTGTCCTTCTACCTTCTCTCCTCAGCCCAAGCCACACCCGGCCATCTCTGGTCCAGTGGCTTAACCCCCAGTCTCCAAGCACACCAAGCTGCAGCCCAGCTGTTACGCCTCCTTCACCCAAGTCCTCACCTTTGCCCAGCCTTCTTCCTGCCTCTGTAGCTGAAAAGCCACCTGAAAGGTATGTGATTGGAATCTGGGGAGAATATGGGGGCAGAGAGGCTGGGCCAGCCCAAGGGTGAACACAGGCCAGCCCTGTGTTCTCTGCTAGAGAAGGTTTGCTCAGGACATTGCTCCTGGACCTCGTGGAGAGGACATTTACAGCCTTGTCTGCCTCAGTTCTTCAGTAAGAGAAATTTGCCTCACATGACACATACCTGGACATACTTTGTTTTGGTCTGGTTGTGCTTTTATGAAACCACTGATTTTGAACGAACTGTTTATATGTGGATATAAAGCACATTCTTTGTTTTAAAGGAAAGTAAACTGGGCACTGGAGGCAGTAGTTAATATGGCTGCCATTTAGCAGGCGTGAGGCCAGAGGCCCAGGAGCAAACCCGTCCTCCAGGGCAGGCGGCTGCAGGTCTCTTCCCTTTAGCTGCCCCCTCTTCAGTCGGGGGCCGCCTACAGGTGGATTTGGCTGCCAGCACAGCCTTCATCCTTGCCCGGAAGGCCCTTTTCCCACAGGGCACACTGGATGGTGTGATAAGTAGTGAGGTGCTGAGCCTGATATGCCTTCTGGGGGGTAGGAGTGATGGGCTCTCCATAAAGAAGACCCTCATGAGAACGACATACCCCTACCCAGCAGCGTGGAGGCTGAGCGTGGGTCTAGGCCGAGTGGGGCCCATGGTGCGTAGCTGACGCACTGGCCATGCGTGCCCCTCTGCTCGCCTTCTGTCTCAAGACACTCTCCTAATAGGCACTCCCAGTGTCTAGGAAATAAATGCGTGTGTGGTTCTGCTCGTCTCAGCGTAGGCGCCGGCACCTACCCTGCAGAGGGGGGCCAGGTGAAGAGCTTCCAAGCAAGCTTCTCAGAGGCTTCCTGCAGAAAGGTTGCAATGTGGAAACATCCTTTCCTGGACAACCAAGCGCTGTGCTTTTGCCCGAAGTTCACCTCCCAACTGATTTCTTTTCTGGAAGGAGTTAACACGCCACCAGTGACATGGACACGAGATGTGTTAATCTGGGAGGGGAGGCGCCTCTCTCCCAGCTTATCCTGGTTTCACCTGTGTCCTCATGTCCCCTTCTAGCGCCAGCAGCCGAAAGGCCCGTGCGGTGTATCCCTGTGAGGCAGAACACAGCTCAGAATTATCTTTTGAAATTGGAGCAATTTTTGAGGATGGTAAGTGTTCATGGGGTTTTGTGGGATACTGGGTTTTATGACCTGGGGGTTATGATCCCAAGTAAGTGGTCCCTGGTGTGTGGCGTCTGGGGCATGAGTCTGTCCCTTGCAGCCGGGATGGGAGACCTCAGGGCCTGACGCCAGGCCCTTGTCGTGATGGCTGCTGTAACTCTTGGGCCTCAGTCACTTCTTCAGCCCTTTGGGCTCTCTCTGGTCTTTAGAAAGTCTTTCTCCCGATGTAAACAGTAGGGCTCCCTCGCAGTTTGGAAGTGTTTCTGATTGCCATCCGCATTTTCCGCCGCCAGCATCGCCAGCCACGCTTCCTAACTGCCTCAGCTTTACCAAGTCAGAGTTATCAGAGAGGTGGACGATGCTCGAGACATTGTAATTCCCTTAGCAGGCAGGTGCTGTCCATGACTTGCTGATGGGAACAGCATGTGAATCTCTAGATAGGGGGGTTGACTTTGCATATTGAAACCAGGCCATTGATTATACTTGAGTGTTTAATATACAGACACTTCGGAGCTCTGCCCGGCTTAATAGTTCACTCATTTCTCTTATGGTTCAGTGATGTCTCTTTGCTTCTCCCTCTTGAGTCTTTCCTTCCCAGGTCCTGCTCATTAGGAAATTCATTGGTTGCTGTGGAAATGGTGATATTGAATGTATGTGCACGTGTGTGTGTGTCTGTCTGTCTGTCTGTGTGTAGCTGCCCAAGATGGTTCTGGGGAAGCAGTGAGAACCTCAGAGGCTTGGGATGGGATGGTTGATTTGCCAGAATGTTTAGAATGTGTCAACACAGCACATAGTGGTATATTGTCAGTAATGCAGCCCTGCCTTGTTTTTCTTTTTAGGAAAGCAGGCTGCCTCATGTAGAATAGATTGTTCTAGATGGGTGCTGTGAGCCCGGGAGAGCCAGAGGCTCCTGATAGCATCAGAAAACAAGCAACTGTAATAAAAAAAAAAAAAGCCCATAGACAACAGACTTGTATTTTGTGGAGAAATTTTGCTTTGGGAATAGAAGCATGATTATTCCTCTTTATACCAGCACGGAGAAGCATGGCACATTGCCAGGACAGTGGGGCCAAAGAGCTTCCCTGCCCCAGGTCTACCACCCACCAGCACGCCAGCCAGCAGGAGGGCAGCTGAGCTGGCAGCACGGAACTCCTCTATTTGAGAAGTGACACTGGGTGGGTTGAGTGGTTAGATTTCTGTGGGAGCCTCAGACACCCCCCGCGCAGTGTCACTGGTCGACTGCTTACCTGCGTAGAAGGTGTATTTGCTGGGATGTTTTTGGCCCAAGTAACAACTGACACAAATCACTAAATCAGGCATAAAAAAGGACTGACTCATCAGTAAGAAGTCTGGAAGCAGGGACTCCGGGGTTGGTCCTCCTAAAGCTGCCCTCAGCGACACGACGTTTCCAGCTTTGCTGCACTGTCCTCAGCCTGCTCACCCAGCTGGGGGTAAGGTGGCGCGACAGTTCCGGGCATCACGGCCACCCGCCACCCCAGCAGAAGTGGTGCCTCTTCTTCGTGTTCTTTTTTATTTTTTATTTACTTATTTTTGAAGATTTATCCATTCATGCATACAAGAGCTGGGGCACAGGCCAGAGATGCAGAGGGGTAAGAGGATTCACCAGAGACAGAGCGGGCAACAGAACAGGCAGATTGATAGAAATACACTGCTGAGAGGAGCAGCGGGCGAGGCAGGAGAGGTCTGCTGCGCCATGTGGGTTGCTCCCTGGCCGGGGATTGAACTCGTGCTACAGAGGCTGCAGATTGCTTCCTAGTGCGGTGCTTAACCCCTTGTGCCACCAGGGAGGCCCTTCGTGTTCCTTTTTAAAGAACAAGAAAATATTTCCCGAACTACCTGCTTTACCACCCACATGTCTCAAATTGCCAGAGTGGGGTGGTTCACCCTGCGTCATCACCAGCAGGGACTTGGACCAAAGCCACACTGGGCACAGGGACACTGCCCTGGGCGCACAGACCTCGGGTGTGGGTCAGCACCCCTCCTGGGTCCGGTCCCGTTAGCCTGAGTAACAGGAAAAGTGCTGAGAGGTACCTGGCCTGGAGGCTGCAGTGGCCTGACTCTAAGTACTAGATGCCTATGAGAGGTGTGTGTCTGCGTGTGCACCCACACAAGCACACATCTGCTTGCACACAAACACATGCGTGTGTGCTTCATGCACGCCCACGTGCAGTGTCTTGGCGTGCCAGGGACGTGGCTGCATCTTGAGCCAAGGTGTTTCCCGTGGCTCCACCATGCTGTGTCCAGCTGTGTCTGGCCTTGCTCACCAGGGCACCCCGGCGTCTCAGCCATTCCTCAGCCCCTTCCCGAGGCTGGCGGCTTGGCAGGTGCCTGGTTGCTGTGTTGATGCCCTTCCCTATGCCCCCTCCCCACAGGGGTACTTGAGCTCTGCATCTCCTGTGGGCTGCTCCTCCTGTGGTGCTGCCCCACCTTGCTGTTTCTGGGGTCAGTTCTAAATCACAGGCTCTTGAGCAGGATTTATCCTTGTCCGAGTGTGCCTGCACTTTCATCTTCGGGGGACAGTTGCTTTCTTGGAGAATTTACAGCCAGTGAAAAGTGCATGGCTGGACCTGGCCTGGTGGAGCTCTTGCTCCCGTGGCTGAGGGGCTTCCTTTTTTTTTTTTTAAAGAATTATTTTTGTTTATACAACAGCTGGGGTACAGGCCAGAGTTGTGGGAGGGTGAGAACATTCACCAGAGACAGAGCAGGGAGCAGAACAGGCGGACAGATTGATAGCACTGCTGAGGGGAGCAGCGGGCGAGATACCCCATCATGTGGGTATCTCCCTGGCTGACTGGGAATCGAACCGGCACTGCGGAGGCTGCGGACAGTTTCACAGCGCTGCGCTCAACCCACTGCACCACCAGGGAGACCCAGAGGGGCTTCCTTCTGGAGACACCTGCTGGGCAGACCCGGCCTCTGCTTCCAGAGAGCCAGGCGGTGCATGACCCTGTGTGCACAGAGGTGAGACTGGCCAGGAACCCTGGCTCCTGCAGGGCCGTGATGTGTAGGTGGCTCTGAAACGCTGAGACATTTCTCCTGTGCCACTTGTCCATGTGGAATCTTCTGGCTGTCCTGAATGCTCCTGCAGTGCCGCCTCCCTTTGGGACTCATTCAGAAAACAGAAGAAATCAGTTTATGGCCTTTGGAGAAGACAGAATCGGAGGCCTAGAGTTGCCCTGGCTTGGTGTCTAGACAGGAAAGAGATTCTTAGAAATTAAGTAGCTCAGTTCCTTTCTCTTTTATCTCACTGTGTGGGCCTGGACTTTACTTATGATAAAGAACATTCTCTGAGCTCCTTTGTGCATGTGGCCTGGAAGGAGCCAGACCGGAAGCTGAGAGATGGGTTGGTGGGCTGCTGTGGATAAGGACCGTGTTGGCCAAAGAGCAGATCCTATTAAATAAAACCTTATGACAAGATATTCCAGAATGGACCCCATTCTCTACAGTGAATACACAGGAAGCAAGTACTCGTGGGCATTTTGGTAAAAAATGATTTCTCTTCCTTTTCAGTGCAAACCTCGCGGGAACCCGGCTGGCTGGAGGGCACCCTGAACGGCAAGAGGGGCCTCATTCCACAGAATTATGTCAAGCTGCTGTAGCACCTGGCCTGTGAGGACCCCACACAGACCCTGGCCCCTGCCTTCCTGGACACAGGGGGATCACACATCACGGATCGGCTCTCCGGGGGTGGGGAGGGGGTGCAGACTGCCAGAGCTGGGGGGAGAGGGACGCATGGCCAGGATGAGTGCTCTGTGGCGTGGGAGAAGATGAGCAGAAAGGACTCTGCCCTCGGCAAGCCTGGGACTTGTGATTTTTTCCTTCTCCAGCCTCTAGCGGGAGGACAGGGGGTGTCTTCTGCCAGCACAACCTCTTCCACTGGCCGTTGTGCCACTGAACACCTCCGTACATCCCCTTGGAGATCTGAGACGGACCTACCTGCCCTTCCTTGAGTGTTGCTTGCAGGAGGTGCTCTTAGCTCTGGCAGAGGAGGCGTGGAGGTGGCCGCTGCTGGTGGGCAGGGTATTAAGTGGGCTCAGCCCAGAAGGTGCCCCTTCCTCACCGGCCTGCCGGAGACCACAGACTCACTCTCCCCAGCGCACACGGCGTATTTATAACAGGCTTCTTGTTGGTGCTTCTCACCTGTGTGCTACTTTCCAGACACCACCTTTTTGCCCCAAGGTCTCTGTAAATAAAATAAAATGTAATTTACTATTTGATTTGTGTGATCACGGTGGGGGGACGGACGAGACGGTGCTGTTGCTTCCCTCTGTAACGTGTTTTGATTTGGCAGCCGCTGGATGGAGATGCGTTCTCCTGGGATGCCGGCGCTCTCGCAGGTAGAAATGATGGACGAGGAGCCTCGCTTCTGGCACCTGAGCATGTTCCCAAGTGCCCTCCTGGAAGGCCGCCTCCAGCCACCTGAAAGGGCCTTTCTCCCCTGGCCTGCGTGACCCCCGGCCAGGGAGCTGGGTGGGGACTTGCCTGCTGTTGGTTTGTGTGGGAGCTGCTCCTGCGCCCTGGAGGCCGGCCCTCCCGACACGACACAGTTTATTGTGCGACTCTCCCCACCTCTCCCCGCCCCTCTGTTTTCCAGGCCTCGGTACTGACGTCTCCCTCTGGAGTTCTGAGACCCTCCGGGAGGAGCCTCGGCCACAACTCCGCGGGAAGCAGCCCCAAGTGAGGGTGGCTCTGATGCGCGCTCATTCTTCGCAGCCTCCAGACGCCAGCAGCAGGCTCGCCCGGCCTCCGGGGAAGAGGGACTTCTCCTTGGTCTGCTGGTCACGAGCCCTTGGAATGTGGCTTTCACTTTTGGTGACTTCAGGATTCTGAAGCCAGGGCCTGCCCTGGGGGTCTGGTGCGCCTCTTCTCTATGGCAGTTCCTGGGCCAGTTGGACTTGTCACCTGCGAATTTGTCACAGGGAGGACAAATTCTGCTCCTCCCCAGGCCGGCTGATCCACCAGCCTGCTGCGTCTCAGCTCCCAAGTCGCCTTACTGAGACCGCACAGGCTGTCAAGTTTGGGGTCCTATGTGAACAGGGGGATGGGCCCACTCAAGAGGATCCAGGAAGCACATAAAAGTAAAGACAAGCTCAGTGCGGTGCAATTTAAAATAATGAACTGTGGTAAGTATTGAGAGAGCTGAGATGCTCAGGGCTGCTGAACAGTAGCCGGCCCTGAGGCCTGTGCACTGGGCAGCTGGGCCAGGCGTGGGGGTGGCATAAACTTCCCCTCCCCTGTCCTGTTTTTAGATGTACTCCCTGCCCACTGCTTGGGGATATAGAAGGGAAAACTGGCTTCTGAGCAGGGGTTACTGGTGCACCCCACTTTACAGAAACTCTGGGGGTAAATACAAAGCCTAGAGGCAGTAGCAGAGGGAGTGATGGCCTGGCTGTATCTCTAATGGATGGATCCCCACAGGCGTGGACATAAGAACTTCCAACAAGGACTGGACTTGTGTGCTTGCTTGAGGAATATTCCCATCATTCAGAGTGAGGTAACCTACTGCCTCTCCAAGTGCTATTAACCCTCTAAGGTACTTATTACCATTTACTCTGTCAAGGAAATTGCCACCGAATCTGGCCACCTGTGTGATCTGGGGCAAATTAAATGAACTCTATGATTCTGTCCCTGCCTCCCAGAAAGAGAACGGTTCCCTCATGCAAGTAGCTGCCCATCACACCGCTGGTGCGATGGTGCCAGGCGCTGCTGTGCCTGTGCTGTGAGTGCTTTAGGCCTGCACTTGGTGACCAGGGCCACCTGTGTACCACAGGCTGGCAGCATGTTGGCATCAAGCCTCAGAATAACTAGCTGCAGGGGCTGCCACTGCAAACTCTTTGGGAGCCAGGAAGCACTGGATGGCATTGGGGCTGGGGGAGGGGTGGGTTGCTCTGTTAGCAGGAAGGGTGGGGCAGGCTGGCCAGAGTAGGGGTGTCCCTGGGCCCTGGCCCAGAACATCCAGCAAACACTGGCAGATCTTCAGGTTCCCAGCAGGTGAACAAGGTGTGTCATGGGGGGTTTGGGTATGCTGCCCCGCTCACTCAGCTACCCTGCACCAGGTCTGCAGCCTGAGTGCCTTCTCATGAGGCCGGACTGGGCGTTGGGCAAAGGAGGACACTCAGATTCTGTATTTCCTGCTTGGAGTGGCTCTTGCGGGGCTGGTGTCTGATGGTGTCAGCCAGGATGCCCCCTGGCAGTCTGTGACAGGAAGGAGCTTGTGGGGCCTGTATCCCCACCCCTTCCTTGGAGGTGTCAGGAGCCCCTGCCATTTGGCATGTTGGGGAAAGCAGGGGTTGTCTGAGCCAGTGAGAGGTTCACCTCATTCTTTCCCTACAGTGATTGGCTGAGCTGGGAGGAATTAGCCATTTATACAGGAGAAGGTGGAGGTTTGTGCACAGGTAGCTGGTTGCATGGTCCTTCAGCGGCACGGTCTTGCCCCTGGGGGCCAGTCAGGAGAATGAGAATGTTGGGGTGGAGGGTGCCCTCTCCTGAATTCAGGTCCATGTCCACACCCCATGGACCTCATTTAGAAAAAACATGATTGTGGGTGTAACCATGGAGGGTTGGGCTGACGTCCAACGGCGCGTCCTTTTGAAAAGGTGAAATGTGGGCCCAGGCAGGCATATGGGGGGAGGACAAGGTGAAGAGATGAGGAGAAAATGGCTTTCTACACATCAGGGAGAAAAACTGTCTGGAAAAGGTTATTTCCTCGGGAGGAGCAGACCCAGGGGACACCTTGATCTTGCACATGTGGCCTCCCTGCTGGGAGACACTGAATCTCTGTTGCTTATGTCACCCGGGCTGTGGCCCTAGGGAGCAGAGTAGCCACAAGTGCCTGCCTTGAGCTAAACACACCCAATTCTGAAGTCTGTTTGGTGACCTTGGACAAGTTCAGCTGCCCTCTATGCTCCAGTGTCCTTCTGTGGAGAGGGCAGTGCTGGCCCCATCGGGAGGCTGTGACGAGTGATAATGAATGGTAAGTGTTTGAGGGGTGCGGGGCCGGACACTGGGTTTAGTAAACGGGGAAGAGGGGAGAACCCAGGTCCTGGTGGTGGGTGGTTTAATTTCTGCCCCCCTTCTCATCTCCCAGCCCCTCATTTCTTGCCCCCTAGAATCTCTTCAAAGCCTTCCCTTGCTTGTTCTCTTTGCCCTGCATTTCTGGGCCTATCTCCTCCTGCCCAAGGGCACATGCTGTCTCCTTATTCTCAGCCTTGTCACCTCTGCTAGCCCAAGTCTCTCCGCCTTACTGGCTCCCCTCAGGTCTTCAGAATCAGCTTGGGTTACGCCTTCCTCAGCCAGGTGTTTTCCAGGCCTCTGCATCTTCCCGAGCGCACATCTTCCCTTGCCCGCTGTCCGAAGGTGTGACTCCGGGCCATGTCCTCAGCGACTGCCCCTTGCCCTGCTTTCTCAGATGCCTGTCAGCACTCTTACCTTTTTTTGCTACCTTACTTGGGTAATCTGGCAGATTCTCCCGGTGCTTTAATCTCTGGCTTAAAGTGTGACAGTCTACTGGGTAGAAGACGACATCTTTCCTATCAGAAGATCAACTTGATGGGCTTTCTGTCCAACAGGGGACCTGCTCTTGGAACTTCGGTGATGTATTGCTAGATTTGTCCCTTCTGGGAGGATTTAGCAACTGAGAAAACACAGGAGGCCCACACTTGGGGGAGTAGGGGAGTGTGATCAGACCCAGATCAAGCCACTTTTCATAGAAGCCGTGTCTTTGGACCAGGCTGGTTCAGGGTGTGAAAATCCAAATGGATTTTTCAGCCCATGGAAAACTTGGAAATCACTGTTTTGGTGACTTAAGTTCTATGACAAAATATCTGAGTGATTGCTAATAGTAGATTGATTTCATAAGCCCAGATCTCACTCCTCACCCCAGATCCATGCTCTTGAGGGGAACCCACCCATGCCAACTGTGAGCCTGGCCTTGTAACTAGCTTTGGCCAATAGGACAGGAGCAAATGGTGCAGAGACTTCGAAAGTGCTCTATTTCCCCACTGCCTCAGAGCTTTGCCTCTTAGGAAAATAAACCCAGGCTTGTTTGCCAGAATACCATGTGCCCACATGGAGCAGAGCAACCCTGGACTCCTGTGCAGAGATAGGGCCCGCAGCCCAGCATAACCGCCCAGCGGAGTGGCCTTTGCTTACTCATGAAGTCCCAAGAATCAGCCATGGCCCATTGAAACCACCAAGTTTGGGGGTGGTCCGCAGCCACCTACCTACCTGCTCCTCTGCTCCACTATTCACTTTGCTTTGGGTCCAGACTTTGGCCGAGCTGAGAGGTAACAGTCTGAATTGCTTGTTATCCGATGTGAAGGCACCCACTTTTATTTCTAAGAAAACTGCTGCACTTGCAATTCGATGACTTGAGCTACTTGTTATACTCGCAGAGATCCTTGTAATCAAGTCATTTTAGTCTGTGTATACTTGTGGTTTATCAGGAAGTATGTCAGAGCTGATTGTAACATAAAGGGACAGTGTTTTTGTTTGCTTGAGGGGTATTCAACATACAGAAGCTACCAGCCCCCTAATTATAGATGTGTCACTGGGCCTGTGCAGTGGCTGGCTGGTTCAGGGGCAGAGACTGAGGATTCTTAAATGTGCAGCTGGATTCTTTGGGCCTGAGAGCACTTTTAGAAATTCTTAGAAACATCCATACTTGACCCAAGAGTGAAGCCTGCTCTATTCAAAAAGCGTTCCCACTTCAACCAAGCATGCCTGCTCTGTGGCTCCTGCCCGCTTCAGTGGGCTCATGGCCTAAGACTGCTTTTGTTTACAGGAGGGGTGGTCTGTGAAACACTTTGCACCCCAATAGGTCAAATTTTCTAAGAAAATTATCTTCGTTTATAGATGTTAGACAAATGGATTTGTGCACAGCACTTAAGTTTTTTCTTTTTGTGCTGTTTGATGAATAAGCTTTGTCACAAATCTATTGTGTTAAAGCAAAGGTGGATTTGTTACTCTCAAAAAGCAAATGGTTTGAATCATCACCAGTTAAATGACACCTTGAAAATGCATTTATCTCGTGGGAAATGTTTTCTGGTTGTGCAGTGAACTAATAATGGCTTACACTCTTCTGTGGTCCTTATGAATGGGTGGCATCCTGGGCAGCGGTCAGGAGTGTGAGGATGAGAAGCAGCCCGGCTGGTGGGGAGCAGACAGCCTGAGGACAGGGGTGAGACAGCGAGAAGAGCTCACAGAGTGAGAATGCTGGAGTTGGACGGGTGTCTGGCCTACTCGCGAGTCTGTACAACGAACACACTTTCATGTGATCGTGATGATAATAGGCCATGTGGATCTGCCAGTGGGGGAGATGCTAGGACCTCAGATAGCACTGAACCCCACACAGACTGCCATTCTCATACACCCCCAGGGGAAGTTTAAAAATTAGGCACAGTGGGCCTCCCCTGGTGGCGCAGTGGTTGAGCGATGGACTACGAGGCTGCCTCTGGAGCGCCGGTTCGTTCCCTGGCTGCCGGCGAGGGTCCCACCAAAAGAAAAATAAATAAAAAAATAAAAATTAGGCACAGTAAGGTAATAATAGTACTATACTACACTGCAATGAAATATGTGAATATGGTCTTAGAATATCTGTTTGTAGTATTTTGAGACATGGCTAACTATGGGTAACTGAAACCACAGAAATCGGGAAGTGCTGTACATTATTTAGCAGCTACCTGGTAACAATTGCTACTAGTTACAGGGATACTTGAGTGCCCCGAATAGTAACAGTAAAAAAATAAGGCCTCTACTCAGTCCCAAAACAGTATTGACATGTGGCTGACACAGTACTTTTCTCACATGGAAAAAAACTGTCACCCCATCTTGGATTCAGGCAGAAGCACATGGACTCAACTTGGAAGGGCACAGGATCCAGGTGTCCTGTAGACATTCCAATGAACTGTTTCCAAAACAACAGGTGATTAAAGTAAAGGATTTATTGTAATCTGCTTACAGTCCTTTGCAAAGACAGACATATGTTTTTGCATAAAGATATAAATTGCTTCATTTTAAACTAATTTAGTGTTTTTTTTTAAATTATATGAAGTTTTGGTGAATTATGAATTGTACCAAACCAAGATTTTTAAGAGCAATATGGTACAAAAATAAGAGCAGACAGACAATTTGGACCGGGACAGGCATTCAACAGTGAATTTAGAATATGGCTTTGCTGTTTAATCAAGCAAAGTTACCCGGAGACACACAAAGAGCCAGTAACTTTGTTAATACAAAAAGCTGATGCAGACAGTCTCCATTCCAGACCTCGTGACGTCGAAATTCTGATTTCATGAAAAGTCAGTCTGAGCTCAGTGTTGCTCTTGTAAGCCATTTCTTTTCTAGAAACACCCAGTCTGCATGCTGTGTATTTATCACCTTCCAAGTGCGGCTTTCCTATTGCTGTGCATGTTAAGTTGACTGCATTTAAAGATCTGCCTATAAATTAAATTCCTGAAGTTGCAAATTATGTAAGAAAAACTCCTCCCTCTGAGTGCAGCTTTCACAGGTTTCCCCTGGCATAAGGCAGGTGTCTTTTGAGACAAGGTCATGTTGCCTGCGTGGTGAACCCCGGAGAAGAGTGTCGGTCCCAGCGCTGCCTTCTCCCTGCCTCGGGCTTCTCCAGGTACAGCTTTTAGGTTTGGAAAAGACTATGCTTTCACTGAGTACCTGATGATTATCATCACGTTTCAAAGATTAATTTGGGCTCTATTCAGAGTCATTTATTTAGTGCAATCGTATTGTTAAAGTTTCCCCAAAGACATACAGGTTTGTGATTTGGGGCGAGAGAAAAGCCGTAAATTGCATCTGTGTCAAACAGATGAATTAAAATATTTTAGTGCCACTGTCTTGCTTATATGATCTGCAGGGTTTTTTTTTTTCCCCCAAAACTGTTTATGTATAAAATGTTTTTTAAAACCTACCTTTTAAAAATCTAAAAACCCTCTAATTGTTGTGTGGTCTCCACACTGCTCTGACTGGCCCAGGCCCATCAGCGTGTCCCCGGTGGTGCCACCGCAGGGGCCTGTGTGTGCCCGTGTGCGGTGCTGGGAGCACCAAGCCCCTGTCCACGACCAGAAGTGAACCTTTCACCTTGTACTGACCTAGAGTGCATGGGATTTTTTTTTTCCCCCCAAGGAGAAAATTCAGTTTTCTTGAAATGGGCTGAGCATGTGCTCTCTGAGCCGTGGGGTCTCCAGGTCTCACTCTCTGCAGGTTGATTCTGCCTCTTGAGGAACAAGGAAGAGGAGCCGCACCTCACACAGTGGCACGCGGGGGCCCTCCTGGCACGTGCGTCTTGTCACGTGACACCTCAGGGCGCTGCAAGGCCCCCAGCCCCTTGCTCCCTGATGGAAGTAGGATGAAGCAGAACCCGACCTGCTGTGACGTCCCCCCAACACCTCCAGCGGGAGACCGAGGACAAAACAAAGGTACGGAAAAAGTAGAAAGGCTTAAAGACGACCGAAGAGGTTTCAGTGTGGTTATTTACAACAGAGACTGTAAAATGGTAAATTAGATAATGAAGCTAAAAAAGGCACAGCTTTCCCTTTCTTAAATACACTGTAAACGGTTCGTGATGCATGCAGAACATTTCACTTTACAAAAAAAAATTTTTTACCTTGTTTGTTTAGACAAAGATAGTACTTAAATAGTCTCCAGCAAAATAGAATTCTTTCAAAAATACTTTCCATTCATCCTATTAACCATTAAAGTTTTTTTTTTTTTTTTTTTTTTTTTGTATGTGTCTCATTTACAAAAGTTCCTTATACCTTATTTCAGGTCCTTCACAATTTATACATACAGTAATGTACAGCACAGCAAAAAGACTGCAAAAAATTATTTGTAAAGCCAACACAATAGATACTAGAAATTGAAACCAAGGCGTTTGTTTCAACATTTTATCCATTCTAATTAAATAATAAATGGACGCTACGGGGTGTGTCTACCAGTGATGCAGAAGGTCGTGGGCAAATGGAGCCTCAGAGAACGCTAATCCACGCCGCGTGCTCTGTTATTACACAACAGGTATCTGGATATATTTTTTCTGTTTTGTGTGTTTTTTTTTTTTAAATAACAAAAGTATATTAATGCCCCATATTGACTATACGTTTTATGTGCAAACCAAGGGTAAGCTTTAAAAAGTTCGTTAGTCCTTGAACCCTTTGAAAACAAGCGAACGATACCAGAAACTACATGGCATAGTTAAAACTTCCATCTGTTAAAATAGCAAAATCAGAGTTATTGACTAGATATGGCTTTTCATCCAGAGGAGCAGGGACGAGTTTCTAAGCGCTGGGAGTGGAGAGGGAAGAGTCCTTTAGACCACTCAGGTGTTGCCGAATCCACGTCCAATTGCTTTCCCGGCTCCAAACCCTTGACGTGATTTTAAACTTGAGAAACTGCTGAACGAGTGAGAATCAACCATCACATGTTAAAAATATGATTTCTTGGGTCCTTCGTGGGTGTGGAATAACACAGGGAAACTTAAGGCAAAGTTCTTCTGGGGGGCGGTCTCGTGTCACTTCCGGTGGAAGTACAGGGCCTTGGCGTTCCCCGACTCCACCTTGGGCAGCTGGTCGCTGATGATCTCCACCAGCATCGCGGGGAACTCCACCTTCAGCGCCTGGGACTCTCGGAAGGTGTAGAAGCAAAATTCCAGCAAGTCACTCACCAGCTGCAAGAGAGAGAGAGGTGATGCGGCGAGGGCCCCGCTCCGGCCCCGGCCCTCCGGCGTCTGCGCGAGGAGCTGCGGAAACTTGCCAGGAGGCCAGGTCTGTGGAGCTGCCTAGTGGACACAGGTGAGGGGCCGAGGCGGAGGGGCTCCCTTGCCTGTTGTGTGCATCTCGTGCAAATCAGACTGAGCCCAGAGTTGTCTGTCTGGGACTGACAACAGGGACAGTGAGCCTTCCCAGTGGCGGGCTCCCTGCAGCGGTCTCATCGAGAGCTCATTCCTGCACATGTGTATCTTGGGCCCCTGGCGATGGGTGGAGGGCCAGGTGGTGGGCAGCCAGGAGTGAGGGGCAGGACAGTGGGCCTTGCTGGCACATCCCACAGTCTCTAGATGAGCTGTGGGGGCACCCCCCACCCCCTTCAGGCTCCCCAGGAGCTGAGGGCTGAGGTTTCTCAGCTGCTTTCTTTTTGAGATATAATTTATATACATGTTGTGTGAGTGATGGAAGTACAGTGGGGGCAAAATAACTGGCAAGCGACCATCTCCGGGACACGTAACCACTTCTTTTGTGGCAAGAACATTTAAGATGCGCTCACTTAGCACCGTGGACGTACATAATACAGGTTTGTTAACTGGGATCACCAGGCTGTGTATCCACCTCCCCAGGACTTATCAAACAGTGTGAACTCCCTGTATCTCTGACCACTTCCTCGGGCCCCCGGCAAGCACTATTCTACTCTGTTGCTACAGGTTGGTCCTCGTTGGACGCCACATAGAAGGAGCTCCTACGGCACTGTCTTTCTCTTGATGTTTGTCACTTAGCATAACCCTCGAGGTCCATCCGTGCTGTCCTGAGGGAATGGCTTCCCTTCTCTGGGCTGAGTAATAGTCCGATACGCATGTGGAGGAAGACATACCCACCACATCCCCGTACCCACTCTCGGCCACTTTCTGTTTCAGGCTGACATCGAGAGCGTGGAAGCATCAAGGACACCTCTCCTGTTGGGCTACTCTCCTACGGTGACCCCACGACCTTTCTCAACCTCCTGGGCCTGAACTGCTCCCAATTCTGTAAGTTAAAAACCAAGCGATCCCCAAATTCAATACAGCACCGCAAGTTGCTAGTCTACTCCCTAGAAATAGGATTTCAAATAAGAGAAACAAGCTAATTTTTCTTAATTCCCTGTCCTTCTGGGGAGAGTGACTTCTGGTCATTTCCTGCTGTGAACATGACCTGCCCTGAATCTCTCTGTAGACCAAGTGTAACCCTCCCTTAGGATTTAGGAAAAAACTCAGTTAGCAAGCCGAGGCAGGCAGGAAAGAAGTGTAAAGGCCTTTAGCACGGAGCAGAAATTGAGAAAATCTCACCGGGTAACATGAGCCTGCAGGGTGGCGGCTCCTTGTGTGGGCTCATGGGACTGAGAGAGAATTAGCACCCGGGGCGTTGGGCCACGGAAGGTGGGAGACATGCAGGCGCCTTCTGCACAAAGTAGCCACCCTCCCCTTGCCTGTGACCTGGGGGCATCAAGAGGATCCGCTCCCCAGGGCTGCTGCAGAGAACTGGCCAGAAACTCGTGCTGAGCAGATGTTGGGTCTAAGAGGCTGAGAGGTGCTTTTGGGGTGCGACTTTGGCTCTGTCCTCCCACTGCCCCAGACTCCTTCATTCAGCCGCAAACCACTTTCTCCGGGGGACCCAGTTTGTAAGACCTGTTCTCGTTCACCCTCATGCAACTTCGTCCTCTGATGCCCCCACCCCCATCAGTGGGGACAGGTGAGCTTTGTTTTTGCCTTTCCAGACAAGAGGTTAAGGACCAGCCCCCACACTTTTACTTTAGTTGGCTGTGAGCTAAAAGCCAGCCATGCAGGGTCTCCCTATCTAGCTGTAGAGCCACAACCAGCGGGGCACACCCTTCAAGGGGGAGAACAGAGCCCTGGCCCCCGCTATGGGGGACCTGGATTCGCCTTCCCCAGAAATCTGCGTGGGTGCCTACAGGGCTGTAGAACGTTACACCGAGGGTATGCATCAGTTTCTGTATCACCCTGCATGTCTGCATCCGAGGGTCCTTATCCACCGTCCGGATTCCCAGCCTCTGCTCAGGACTGGGCCTGGGGAGAGTACAGACCCCACTGCAAAACCCTGCTCCTGCGGCCTCAGGTTCGATGGTGAGCTGGGGGGGGCAGGGAGTGGAGCAGGAGCTTGGGAAAGGGCACCTGCTACCTGTCCGAGTAACGCCACAAACGGGCCAGGCAGGGCACTTCAGCTTTGCAGTTAAACACAATGACCCACATGCAGAAGCAGAGTAAACCTGTTGCTGCACACAAGGCAGCGTGCACGGGGACGGGGCTTGTCCCCACCGCTGCGCTGCCCCGGGGAGCTCCCAGCGCGAGCACCAACCAGGAGACACTGATAAACGGAGCCAGGGCGGCGTCTCCCCGCACTTCTGGTCCATGTGAACAGGCCGAGCCCAGCCAGCTGCCTAGGGGCTCGGAGGGGGCACAGCCTGACTGAGCAGGGACAACGCTGAAAATCGCTGCAGGACTCAGCTCATGGGTCCTGAGTGAGGATGAAACCCGGGGAAGGGAGCAGGGGGAGTGTTCTGCCCTGCAGCGCCCTCCGGCTAACCCGGCCAGCAGGTCAGAAGCCTTCAGGACAGGACCCACAGGCCCTTAGCAGGTATCTGAGGTAGGGGGTGCAGCAGTGGCACTGACCGGCCAGGATGGACCCTGGTTCCTGAGCCCAACTGCTGTCACAGCCACACTCCCCGCCACCGCTCATTGCTGGGTGTCAGCCCCAGGCCGGGGCACCCACCCAGGAACCCAGCATGGTCTCCAGCCCAGAGGATCCAGGAAGCAACGGTACACAAAGGGTACAGGGCACATACCTTCCCCAGGCACCCCCTCTCAGGCAGGACTGGGCTCTGCATGACTCCAAACACTTCTGCACCCCCAACACTATTCCTACCACGAAGCCAGAAAACAGGGAAGAGCTGAGTCCTGGGGTGCAGGTGGGTGGCAAACCCAGCCCCTCAAAGTAAACCCCTTACAGACATCTCTGCATGGACAGGCGGACAGCCCTCAGAGAGAAACCAGCCTTTTCCTCGGTCACTCTCTCAGGAGATGCAAGTTGCAGCTGCTTTTACTGGTTTTCCAGGCACCTTTCCCCCTCCGATGCCCTGGTCTCCGTAGCCGTCTCCCTGCTCATGGGGCGCCCTGGTCTGGAAAAATCCTTCCTCACCCCTGAACTCACCAGGTGACCCACGTCCACATTTACGCTGCGTGGGTCACGTGTCTTACGGGGACCCCTTCACCGCTGCAGGTTCCTGGAGGGCAGGACCCACCTCCCTGGCCCGGGCGCGAGGGGCCTCGCTCCTCCGACTACTTCCAAGCGTGTAGGTGAGTGCTCGGGAGTGGCTTATCTTAGGCTTTATTTTTAGGGCAGCATTGGCTAGTTCTCACTGTAATGTCAAGCAAAAACCAGGTAATGACAGTCGACGTCTAAGTAAGCAAGCAAGCAGAACTCAATTCGTGGGGCTAACCCTTTTCATCCCCCCCCCCCCCCAAGATTTGCTCTTGACTCATTTAGGATGGGTTTTAACCTGACTTCCCACACGTGCCACCCGCCGGTCACTGCTCACGGTGGTTGGAGGGGCTGGCTGAGGTGGGAGGAGGAAGTCACAGCGAGGAGAAGCTCCACCTGCTGCTCCATCCGCACAAACTCCTGGACGGCAAAGAGAAACGGCTCAGCCCTCTGATGCCCACTAGCTCTCCCTGGTAAGTGCCAGGCTTCGTGGAGGGGTAAGAACCCTCATTACAATCAGTAAGACGAGTCCCACGGTATTAGGAGTCACAGAAAGTCGTGGGTGTTGACTTTTCATTCTGTACAAATTGTATCAAGAAATTGAGCTGGATGCTCCATGTCATTTATCCAGCCTGACCGGCTGTCGGGAGCCTGGCAGGTCATGGGAGGGCTGATGGCACCGGGATGGAAGGATTCAGCACAGGAGCAAGCACTGTCCATCCCTTTCCCCTGCTCCCTGATAAGCAGGAGGACCCAGCACCGCTAAGTCACACAATCTCCAGTGGTGATGGAGCACCTGGAGGGAGTCCCGCTATTGCCAACACCTACTCACCTCCACAGGACTCTGCTCACTCCTGCATGTTCTAACCAGGACCCAGTTTTTGACTGAAATGAACATTGTGGGGTGGGCGGGAAGGGGAGGTTGGAAGCTCCCTGGCTAGGGGCAAAGATACATAAAGCTTCAGCTCTAAATCCTTGACAGTAACAGAAGAGGCCGGCAGTCACGTATTCCAGGTGTCCCTGCAGCACAGGACAGGGCCGTGCAAGGATGACACATGGAGTCAACCCTGATCAAAGCCCCAGCCCAGCGTGCATAAAGTCTGCTGTATGGGATGGTAACATGGTGCAAAGGTAACAGAGCCCCCAAACTGAATATTGTTTGTTTCTACACCCAGAGGAACACACAAGGTTATACTATGACTGCCTTGCAGGTTGCCCTCAGAAAGCCTGAACCCACAGTGCCAACCCGGAGTGCTCCTGGCAGGAGAGTCCAGAGGCATCTAAGAGGAAAAGCACCAGAAAGATACCAGCAGGGAGGTATGTCAGCACAACACTTCCCTTTTTTTGTCTCCTTTTTTCAACGAAGAACTAGACATCCACAAAATAAAGTGCCAGTGGGGCAGGTCAGAGAGGCAGGATGTTAAATCAGTGGGGCAACACCTATCTTCTCGCTGACAGGGGGAATCTGGAGAGTCTTGCCAGAGGCAATAAAGAGATCACAGAAGACCATCCTTCCTGAGGAGAGACCCCAGCATGCACGCAGCAGCGAGAGTCAGAAGAACTTTACCAGCGCTGTCCCCACAGCTCTGCCCAGGCAGCACGCAGCAGTCACCTCTGCAACCGGGAAAGAACAGTAAGCGGGTGCCCAGCCTCCCTAGAGACGGCGGACCTCCGTGACTGGAGGAGACCGAGAACAGCAAAGGGCCTTCATGGGACATGGTTCCCGCTGTGTTCAGCAGAAGTCCACTCGTGGGTCCCTCCCTACCAGGCCTGCCGGCGCCGCGACACTGAGCGCAAGGTCCAGGGTGAGCAAGGGTAAATCAGACTAGAGCTGTAGCGCCACCTTTTGGAAAGTGGAAGAGAGGTTTCTAGTCCGGTGAGGTGTAAGGAGCAAGGGAAAGTTCTTGAGTTTCAGAAACATTTCTTTTGTTCACTTCACATGGCAGAAGCCAGTCAGAACCTTGACGGCTCACACCTACCAAGAATATTGGAGAGCTCAGATACAGATTACAGATATGTTATTTGCATGGGAAACTTGCTTAAGAATTCTGTCACGGTGGGACAGTGGACCTCTACCAAGGCAGAGAAAATCCTAGCTAGTAACAGCACCGGTGAGGAGCTGACCCCATCTGAAGGCAACCAGCAAAGATTTAAAGTGTCTTTTACTTTCAATGTGGAAGCAATAAAAAACCGTAAGTGAAATGAAAAATCGAGTTAGGGTATCACCAAAAGATAGTCATTCTGCATACCTGAGACGCAAAGAATGAACTGTAGAACTCAATGGAATGAAATAAAAAATGCAACAGAGAGCATATGAGTAGAACAAGGGGAAGATAGGAATTCTGAAATAGCCCAGGTAGAGGAAAAGAATGGAATATACAATACATGCAGAATATTAGAACCGGGATACCAGAGAAAGAAGAGGGGCAGAAAGCTTAAGAAATGACTGAACTTCCTAAGTCTGGGGAGAGAATGTGACATCTGGGTTCATAAAGCTAATAGATTATCCCAAAGATAAACAACTGAAAAAGAAGGGAGAAAGAGATTGTAACTATAAAGGAACCCCTCTTAGCCTACCAGATTTTCAGCAGAAATTCTACAGGCCAGAAGAGAATGGAATGTTATATTCCAAAGTGTTGACATTAAAATTATGAGCCAAGAATACTCTGACAAAATTATCCTCCAGAGATGCAGGAAAACTACTTCCCTAGACATGAAAAAGCGATGGAGTTCATCACCACTGGACCAGCCTTGCAAGAAGTGCTAAAGTTTATGTTGAAATGAAAGACACTGATCAGTGACATGAAAACATACAAGTGTAGCTACTGTAATGTCTAATGAACGCACCACAAAAGCAGTCAATCATGACATCAGAAATATAAAAGGGGGTATAAGGAGTATAGATGATCAAAGTTAAGTTGCTATTAGCTTAAAATTGAAATGTTTTTTCTACGAGATGTCTTATGTATGCCTCACGGTAACTATGAGGCAAAAAACCTTGAGCAGAAACGGGAAAAACAATGATTAAAAATGACATTAATAAGTCCTTACATATCAGTAATAACTATGTAAATGCTTGAGTTAATGAACTGAAAGATACATAGTTGGGCATTATTATTTTTATTCTTTCAGTCACTCTACAAGAGACTCACTTCATCTTTAAGGATGCACATAGGCTGGACATGAAGGGGATGCAGAAAGCTAGCCATGCAAGTGGAAGACAAGGTATTAGCTATATTTATATCAAAGTAAGCTTTAAGCCAAAAGTGTAACAAGACAAAGGCCACTATATAAAGGGACCAATTAATCAAGAAGATATAACAATTGTAAATATATTTACAGCCAATATTAGACTGCCTAACTATATTAAGGAAATATTGGGTATAATAAAAGGTTATGTAATTTCATGGCAATAAAAAATTTAAAAGCTCTCTAATGAACAATCTATCTTTGTACTTCAAGGAACTAGAGAAATAACAAAGATCAGAGTGGAAACAGTTCATTGATCTAGTCTATGAGCTGGTTTTTCAAATAGATAAACAAACCTTTTTTAGATAGACTCAAAAGACTCCAGTCAGAAATACAAAGGATAATAAGAAACTACATATTTCTTTAAAAAATATAGACCAGCAATTCTGCTATTTACTTGTTCAAATTGATTTGTCCAAGACTGTATTGGTAAATTTCTAGAACCTAGCAAAACAGTCTTGGACAAATCAATTTGAACAAATAAATAGCAAAATTCTAAAGCATTTTTCACAGAAATAGAAAACAAAACAAAACAAAGGTGGAAGCCTCACGCTTAGAAGAATATGGTCCTGGCATAACAATACACTCAAGTAAAGTCAGTTGATAGCCATGAACGCTCAATGGGAAAAGAACAGTTTCTTCAACAGATAGTGCTGGGGAAGTGGAACAGGTACATACAAAAAAAAAAAAAAGACTACTGTCTTGCATCACATACAGAGATTCTAAATCTATAAAATAGCTAGAAAAAAGCATATAGGCAATAAGCTCCTTGACATTGGGCTTAATGAAGTTGTTGTGGAGTTGACTCCAATGGCAAGGCAAGGGAAGCAAAAGTAAACAAATGGGGACTACATCAAACTAAAACAGTTCTGTATAGTAGATGAAACCATCATCACAACAAAAAGGCAACTGCCTGAATGGTGACAGATACTAGCAAATCATATTTCCAATCAGTGGTAAATACCCAAAATCTATAAAGAACGCAGAACTCAACAACAAAATTGTGATTAAAAACTAGGCAGAGGACCTGAATAGATATTTTTCCAAAGACAACACATAAGACATTCAACATCAATAATTACTACGGAAATTACAATGACTATTATATGAAAGACAGGAAATAACAAGTATGGGAGAGGATGCGGAGAAAGGGAACTCATTCACTGTTGGTGGGAATGTAAATTAGTATAGCCACTATGGAGAACTGTGTGGAAATTTCTCCAAAAATTAAGAGTACAAATACCATCTGATGCAGCTAGTCCACCCTGGAGATTTTTGCAAAGAGTATGAAAATACTAATTTGAAGATGTATATTTTAATGACAGAATCATTTACAATAGCAATGATATGAAAACTACTTAAGTGCTGTTGGGGCATGAACAAGGCTGCTGTGATATATATAGCACAGTAGAGTCTCACTGTCTGGGCTACTCAGACATAAAAGAAGAATGAAGTCTTGCTATTTATGATAATAGGGATGGACCTTGAGGGTATTCTGCTAAGTTAACTGAGTCAGATGGAGAAAGACAAATATATTTGTCAGTGGAATTTAAAAAGAATAAACAAAACAAACTCTAAGAAACAAAGAATAGAACAGACTGGTGATTACCAGGGGGAAGGGTCGATTGTATATCCGGTGATGGGTCAAGTGTACAGATGTGAAATTATAATGTGCATCTGAAATTTACAGAACATTATAAACCGATGTGACCTCAACAAAAAAAAACAAAACCAGACAGACTTTTGGAACAGAATAGAAAGCTCAGAACTCTTTCCTTACATTTAAGGTCATCTTAGATAAGATAGCTAAGAATAGGGAAAGGGTGATAATCTCGTCAACAAATGGTGTTGGGAAAACTTGATAACCACATAAAGAAAACTGAGCTGGAACCCCTGTTTCACACGACTCATGCAAGTAACTCAGAATGGATACTAATTAGAAAGTACAGGAAAGAAGCTTCTTGACATTGGTCTTGGCAATGACACCAGAACACAACAAAACTCAATGAACAAGACTATGTCAAACTAAAAGAACAGCACAGCACACACAGAAAATGGAAAGGCAGCCTACAGGCTGGGAGAAAATAATTGTAAACTATTAAGAATTTATGCAATTCACTAACACAAAAACAAGCAATCTGATTAACAAGTGTGTAGAGAAGCTAGACAGAAATATTTCCAATAAAGATATCCAAATGGCCTACAGGTACCTGAAAAAACAGCCAGCATCACTAGTGATAAGGGAAATGCAAATCAAAACCATAATGAAGTATCACTTCGTACCTGGTAGGATGTCATCAAGAAGAGATAAGCGTTGGCAGCTACATGGAGAAAGTGCAACAGTTGGCACACTGTTAGTGGGCATGCAAATTGGTTAAGCCACTATGCATGGAAAACAGCAGGGAAGTTCCTCAAAAAATTAAAAATAGAACACCATATGATCCAGCCATGGGCCTCTCTCTAGAGGAAATGGAAAGAGGATACTGAAGAAATATCTGCACTCTGTGTTCAGTGCAGCGTTGGTTACAATAGCTGTGATAAGGCAGCAGCCTTAGCGCCCATCAGAGAAGATGCCTTATACACAAACACAACGGTGTATTATTTGACCTTGAGAAAGGAAATCCCACCCTGTGACGGGTGACAACCTAGGTGGACCTTGAGGCGTTACCTGGAGTGAGCTAAGTCAGGTAGGGAGAGACAAGTCCCACAGGTGGAGTCTGAAACAGCCTAATTCACAGAGACAGAGACTAAGATGGTGGTTACCAGGGCCTTGGAAGATGGTAGAAGTGGGGAGATATTTAAGGGAAAAATTTGCCATCAGTAGGTAAATACATCCTGGAGATCTGATGTACACAATGCTGTAAACCTCACTGTTGCTAAGGCTAAATTTGAATTGTTCCCACCATCGGACACACATGATGTGACCAAAAAAGGTGTGTTAACCCTATGTAGTGGTACTACAGTATATCCATGTATCGTTTTTTAAGTATAAATCAACATGTTGTATATGTTAAACTTACACCATGTCAATTACACTGCAATAAAAAAGATACTGTCAGTAAACTATCTAAAAAGGCTGGTTTTTCAATGCACAGCAAAAGGCACTTCTTGGTCAAAAGTTTAATAGGGAGCAAGTTCAGTGCATCCAGCTAAGTTAGGCCGGGGAGCCATCTGGATAACTAATGGGAAGTTCGGGTTCTGTGTTAGCTCTGACGTCAAGCTGCCATCTGGAAGGGGGTCTTACTGATTCCCCTTTTTAAGAGACTGCAGTCCTCTGCTCAGGGCCAGGCAGGCCCATGGACAGGGGCCACTTGGCTTCAGTGTGTCCCTGCAGCAGGACACGAGCCTCCTTGGTCTGCTGGCTCTGATGGGAGCTCAGCATGTGGGGAGCCCTCCCATGAGGGTGAGCAAAGCCACGGCCCTCCAGGCAGGGGGTTCGACCCTGTCACTTGGTCCATTGAGGCGAGGCTGCCTGGTTCCTGAGGGAGGGTTGCCCCGTGGCCCCCCAGGGCTGGGTCCAGTGTGCTCACTTGGGAGGCCTGCCAGACCCGCAGTCCAGGAGTGGACAGGCTGCTGGGGTGGAAGTGGGTGTTGTACACCATCGCATAAAAAACCAAGGGTATTTCTGAAAACTCACGCCTGCTCCCAGAAATTAGCACTTGATTGTTATCTGATGTCACATTAACTTGTCCCTCATTACCATTTTTATAATAAATTCAACACTAGTCATTGATTCTGGTCAGTGATGAGTATTAAACCTTCCAAATAGGTTATTTGGATGCTGTGCTAAGCAAGATGGGTTCAATTTCCTTCTAATTTTTTTTGTACTTAAATCTATTTAATTTCCCCCCGCTTAAGTTTCCTTGTATTACCAGCCCTGTTCCAGATCGCAGCTCCGCCTCCTTGTGAATAAAGTCTATTGTATGTGTAAAAAACACAAAGAAAAATGACACAATGGAAAAGGAGAAAGTAGAGCTTAAAGATAAAGGGATAATTAGAACATTGCTGAAAAGAGGAATTCTAATGAAAGGGTTGTATTTGAAACGCATTGGCATGTTACTGTATATAGAAGTATGAACTTTTCCTAATTTTGTTTTCAATATTTTCTAGATCCTTCTTGCAAATGTACACTAAACTGAGCAATGTAAAAATCTACACCAATTCATGTTTATAAGTTACTAACTTTAATATCGGGTTAAATGAAGATTTGAAACTTAAATCCTTGTCTCAGCCTCCGAAAGAAAAGAAACACCAAGGAATGGGGGCCCCCCCGGCAGGTCAGGGGCAGCAGCCTTGAATTCAGTAGGGACAAGGTGGTCGCATTTATTTCCTTGTCCCTGTGGTCCTAGTGAATGAAGGCAGTTTGGGGGGCTGGCAAACTATGGTGTGCAGGCCAAATCTGGCCTAATAACTATTTTAAAAATGGAAAAAAATTACAGAAGTTTTCAATGGTCAAAAAAATGTCCAAAGTAATAGTTTTTGATGTGGGAATTAAAAGGAATGGTTTTATTGGGACATAGCCATGCTCTGTCACTTAGATACCGATGGCTGCTTCCATCCCCAATGGCAGAGCCGGGGCCTGTGACAAGGTGAACAGTATATGGGGAACAGGTTTTGGTTGTTTGCTAAAATGTATAAATCAAGCATAAAATGTTTCCTGACTTCGGAAGTAATGAACTGTGGAAAAAGACAGTGTGAAATCAAATATGGCGGCACCTAGACCTGGCCTTCCAAACAGTGTGTCTATAGATTCCCTGAACCTTTAGGAAATGCTTCAGAATTTGTCATTAAAATGGAGATACACCATCTCTTGGGTCTTCCTTTTATTTGACTGTTCCTTAGAGTCATTCTCTTCGAACCTATAGTCCTTGTAGGTGTCATACATTTACAGCTGACTCACTATCCATGGCGGCCGGTTCCATAAAGCCACTGGGAACAGTGCCTGAGCAGATATTCAACCCTTTGCTCGTAGGGGAATCCAGGGCTAGAGTCCCACAAGCTACTGGTCACAACATTCTTATCAAACGATCAGAACATAATATGTGGGTTTCTGTATAATGGCGCCTTGTTAACATTCATTGCTGATTTCTTACCACTGAACGTATGGGCAACAACATTATAAACTCTACAGGAACCTTAGCAGACACACTTTCTCCATAAGGCACACCACAGCCTTCTCGCACTTAGGAACACTAGACACTTCATGAGCACTACATTTGGGGGACCATTTTAACAACAAAGTCACCAATAAAAATCTAAAAATATAAAAACAACCAGCATTCCACCGAGGATGGCCAAGGATGCATATTTGCAGTGTGAGAGCTGAGAAAGAAGGCAGCCCATCACCTTGTTTGACCCCAGCTGGAAACATCATGT